CCCGGCTTGAGTTGGCCCCGACACAAATTAGGACGTCAACCCTAATTAGTGGGCCGGCGACCTGAGGGCACGGCAACCGTAAAAGTGGCAGGCTCAGCCTGCTTGGCCAGCCACCGATATTGGACGACCACTTGAGGGTCAAATTTTGCAGAAGAGACGCCGACAATTCAATCTGCGGCAATTGATTGGGACTTGCGGCGAGTATTCAACTTGGGCGCTGACCGGTGGCAATCTCCAATCAAGACCTTGATTGAGTGAGTTCGTTCCGGCGACCTGTCCCTCCGATGTCAGTCCGTCAGTCTGTCAGAACTGGTCTGTCGGGTCTGTCAGTCCGTGGCCTGTCGGGAGGTAGGTGAGTGTTGTCAGTCTGTGTCGTCAGTGGGTTGTCAATGGTTTGACCCCCCCTCTGACCTTGCCTGCAGTTGACCGTGGGTCTTGAGCCTGCGCACACGCTGTGTTTGCGTTTTCCGTGCTGCCTTTGGATCTGTCCTGTCATAGTCTGCCGTGTCAGATCTAGTATCAGTGAAGAGCAGTCAGTCCAAAAGTGGTCTGTCAGTCGTGTCAGAACGGTCCGCGCAGTAATGCTGTGTCGTCAGTCTAATCAATTCCACACAGTCTACCTGCTGGTTTGCAGCCTGCAAACTACAGGTTTTATTTTTATTTCTGCGAAACGAACGGCGTCCCACCGCAGTTATTTTTTTTTTCTGCGTATGGACTCGGGTGTTCTTGCCTTGCTAATCGTGTTGGTGTTCGTGGGAAGATCCGGTAGGGATCTGGTCTGAAAGTATTGTTTTTTTTCTGATCGGTTGGGCGTGCGGTAAAATCGAACAAATGTTGTTTTGCTGTTGACCGCTGTCTGCAACCTCCCTGAATGCCTACGGACACGAAGTACTAATCTGCTATCTGTCCTAACCCTTCCCTCTAACTGAGTAAACAGTACAGCCTGATTCTGATTAGATTGTTGTTCTATGTGTGAACTCTAGTCCGAATTTTATTTTATTTTATTTGAAAAAAAATAAAATATTAACTGGGTATGGTTGACGGCGCAGCCTCTGGCGGTTCTGGGAATGACAAAGGCAAGGATCCTGTGGTTCCCAAAACCGCCATTGAGCTGGAGATTGAGAAGGAGGAGGCGGTTGCAGAGGAAAGCTGCAAGAGGATTGAGAAGCTGAGGAGAGAGAAGGATGAAGGAGACCGAAAGGCTCAGAATGAGGCCAGACGGGCAGTGCTGGCAGAACATTTCTTGGCCGCTGAATCTGATGAAAGATTCAGTGACACTAACAGGAAGTTGGCTGAGTGGATCCGTTTGGGGTTCACTTCAATCAAAGATGCCCTCACTGCCTGGATGGACCGGGCTGCTGCAATAGAAGACCGTTTGACTACAGTTGAAGCCAAACAATCTTCTATTGTAGAGTCCCTGGATCGAATCAGGCAAGATCTCATTACCTCTCCCCACTCAGCTACCTCTACTCCTCGTCAGTCAGTCAAACCCGAACCTAAATCGGTTCCTACTCCCCCTGCAACACCACCCCCTTCTCCCAAGGGAAAGCTTGCTTCGCCTAATAAGCAACAGGCTGTCCCTGAGGATCTCAGACTGGGTGCTGGCAGCTCAGGCCAGCAGGAACAACGTTTCCCCAAGATGATGCAACCTGACAAATTCATTGGTGATGACGCCAAAGTGGATGTGTCAGATTGGATCGCTTCAATGAAGTCCTATCTGAGGGGATTCATCTGCCCAGAGGTTAACAAGGTGCAGTCCACTGTGGCCCTGTTCGGTGGGTCAGCATTGAAGTGGGCGACCTCTGAGGGTACCAAGTCTCAGCAGCAGTTATCAGATTGGGCTGTTGCAGCAGGATTAGAGACCATCTTCCAGGGTCTGGAGGCGAGGTTTGCAGACAAAGAGAAGGCCCGCAAAGCTGCAGACGAGCTGGTTAGTCTTGGCCAGACAAAGTACAGGGGTTCCCTGGCCAAGCTCTATGCAGAATTTGAGCGCCTCACCTCTACTTCCGGTTTGGAGATGTTTGACATGGACCAACTGACTTGGTTCATCAGGGCAGCTCCTGAGAAATATACCACGGCCTTGTACTTTGCAGGACACAAGGATTGGCGATCTTTTGGCCGAGCAGCCTTGGACATGGAGGCAACACTCCACGTTCAGTCCATTCCCCAGAAGGGAGGCAACCCCTCTTCCCAGAGTAGGAGGAAGGGAAAGGGGAACTTGTACGCCATGGCGTCTGATGATGACTCTGCAGGCACTAGCCAGGGGGGATCTACTCCCCCAGCTGGCCAGGGTGCAGGAGCAGACCAGGCTGCTCAATTGCTGGCCCAGGCACTGCAAGCCCTCACTGGAGGCAAGCAGTTTCAGGGACAAAAGCCCTCCTCTCCTAAGGGGTCAGACAAATGCCCCAATGGTCCCCAACAGCAAAACCTCCCAAAGTTTGCCAAGTGCCCAGCCAGTCCCGTGGACGCTTCCTCTTTTCCTTGGAGGGATCTGAAAATCCCAAAGGGCGTATGGCAAAAGAGGAAGGACAGGGGGGTCTGTCTGAGGTGTGAGGGCAAACACTATGTCAAGGATTGCCCTAGACTGAACCACAACAACTGCAGCCACTCAAAAAACTAAGCAGGCCAGCAGAGGCTGCAGCCAGCCCTGTTGAACTGGATCCATCTCCTTTAGGAGATGAATCAATTGTGGAGCCTTATTTTTCTGAGGCTACAAGGGACTCAATATACTCTTATATTGAGCCCTTTCTGGATGAGCCCTCATCTGAGGAGGAGCTTGATCAGCTCTGTTCCCTTCATCGCCAATTAAAGGAGAAGAGGAAGAAGAGATCAGAACTGATCATGCTCAAGCCTCAAATTAACAGAACCAGGATCAAAGCCTTGCTTGACTGTGGGGCCACAAGGAACTTCATCTCGCAGAATGGAGTTCAGAGACTTCACTTGGGTCTCAAGGTTACTGACCTTGAGCACCCTTTGGAGATACAGGTAGGGAATTCCCAATCTGTCTCGGTCAAGCAAGTCATCAAAGGAGTGCCAGTCATCTTTGATGACAAAGGGGAAATCAGACATTCCCTGAATTTCTATGTTTTTCCCCGTCTTCCCTTTGATCTGGTCCTAAGTCTAAAGTGGTTAAGGGCTACTAACCCTTCAATTGACTGGGCCCTGCCCAATATTCAATTGAAGAATTCCCAGGGTGAGGTAAGACAATGTGTCTTACCTACTGACCATCATCCTAAGACAAACTGTTACTGCCTGAAAGCCAGAGAGTTTTACAACTTGTCTAAGGAAACTGACCATGAGAATCTGTTTGTGGCTTATGTCACTCAAACAGATTCAGATTCCTCCCCTTCTCAGATTGATCTTTCCATTCAACGGGTGGTTGATGAGTTTTCTGATTTGGCTCAGGAGCCTATTGGACTGGTCCATAGGCAGACCAAGCATCATATTCAGATTCTGCCTGACTCTACCCCTCCTAAGGGAAGAGTCTATAGGATGTCACCTGTTGAACTGGATGAGTTGAGGAAGCAGCTAGAGTCCTTGACAGAGAAGGGATGGATCAGGCCCAACTCATCTGAGTATAGGGCACCAGTTCTCTTTGCTCCAAAGGGAAATGGTGAACTCAGGATGTGCATTGACTATAGGGGCCTAAACAAGATCACTAGGAAGAGCTTTGTGCCCTTGCCTAGGATCGATGACCTGGTGGACATGGTGCAGGGTTGCAAAGTCTTCAGCAAAATTGATCTGAAATCCGGGTATCATCAGATCGAAATGGCTAAAGAGGATGTGCACAAGACCCGGTATAGCACCTATGAGTTCCTGGTCATGCCTTTTGGTTTGTGTAATGCACCAGGGACATTCCAAACTGAAATGAATAGGATTTTCAGACCCTTCCTTGACCGCTTTGTTGTTGTGTACCTGGATGACATTCTGGTTTTCAGCAAAGATGTCAAGGAACATGCAGACCACCTCAGGAAAGCTCTGCAGGTCCTGAGAGAACATAAGTATAAACTGAACAAAGAGAAATCATCATTTGGTGTTTCCTCTGTTTTATACTTAGGTCATGTGATTTCTGCAGATGGTTTATCCCCTGATGCCTCTAAAGTGGCTGCTGTCAGGGAATGGCTACAACCACAAACTGTGAGGGACATCAGATCTTTGATGGGGTTAGCCTTTTACTACAGGAAGTTTATCAGAAACTTTTCCTCTATTGCTACACCCCTGACAAATCTGCTAGCTAAGGATGTTCCCTTCAGGTGGACAACCACTTGTCAGTTAGCTTTCTCCAGATTGAAGAAAACACTCACCCAAACACCTGTGCTGAAATTGTCTAACCCTACCTTGCCATTTGTGTTGACCACAGATGCAAGTCAATATGGCGTTGGTGCAGTGCTTCAGCAAGATGATGGGACTGGTCTGAAGCCGGTGGAGTTCATGAGTAAGAAAATAAAGGTGCAAAAAATTCAGGCATCTACTTATGAAAAGGAACTGAATGCTCTCGTCTGTGCCCTTAAACAGTGGAAACATTTCTTGCTTGGGAGACACTTCAAGATCTATTCTGATCACTCCACTCTACAGTGGATGAAGACCCAAGGTGAGTTAAATGATAAACTGGAAAGGTACATTCAGTTCATTGACGGATTTGACTTTGAACTGAAGCACAAGAAGGGATGCTATAATAGGGTTGCTGATGCGTTGTCACGTAGACCTGATTCATTTGCTGCCATTGTTGACACTTACTCCTTTGCTGATTCCACCAGACAGGCCATCGCTGATGCGTTGCCTCAGGACCCAGTCTTTGGCCATATTCTTAGGAATCTACAGGGTGACCCCAATTCTGAGTCAGGCTATGCCTTGACTTCTGGCTTGCTGTACACAATCAGCGAGGGGGAAGAGCGTCTGTGCATCCCTAATGATCGCAAGATCATTACTCATCTGATCTCAGAGAGTCATGATGCTCGCGGACACTTTGGGTTCTTAAAGACGTATGCTGCCCTGACCCARCGCTTCTATTGGTCTAAGATGAAGGACGATATCCTGCATTACTTGGAGACCTGCGAGTTGTGYCAAAGGAATAAGGTYCACARGCGGCCTCCTATGGRACTACTCAAACCTCTAYCTATCCCTGATGGTCCAGGTGAGTCAGTGTCCATTGACTTCACAGACCTGGGCAAGACTACGCCACGTGGGATGAGACAGGTAATGGTTTGTGTTGATCGATTCTCTAAGTATGTTGAGTTTATCCCCTTACCTGCTGAGGCCAGAGTACCTCTGGTCAGAGAGCTCTTTTGTGAGAGGTGGGTAAATGTCCATGGGTGCCCAACCTCCATTGTCAGCRACAGAGATCCCARATTTTGCAGYGATGATTGGCAGTCCTTCTGTAAGGACTACCTACATTCTAGACTAGACATGACCTCTGGGAGACATCCGGAAGCCAATGGACAGGCTGAAGTGATGAACCAGGTCTTGTTTCAGTTGCTGCGCCCTGTGATCACGCCTGATCAGCAGGACTGGGACAGACATCTGTCACGGGCGCAACTAATGTATAATACATCTGTTCACAGCACTACAGGCTTTACACCCTACAGGCTACACTTTGCAAGAGACCCCAGGCAACCTCTGGATGATCTAATCGACAAGTCTAAGCCTAAACTAACTCCTGGCACGGCCGAGTTCACCAAGAGTTATGAGAAAGACCTAGAGAAAGCTAGAACAAACATGTTCAAGGCCCAGAAGAGGATGATCGAACAGGCTAATAAGCATCGCTCTCCCTCTACTATTGGCCAGGTCACTGGGTCTGGGTGAAAAGATCTGAACTAACTGATGAGCAGGATATTTCAAGAAAGTTGTTGCCTGTCTACTATGGCCCATGGAAGGTACTTGATACGGTGGGGGCAGATCCACTTGGACCTTCCTATGTGCTTGCTGTACCGCCTCATATCAAGACCTATCCGGTCTTCCATGCCTCAAAACTGCCTCCTTTCACGTCTGCTGATGCATTCCCTGATAGGCCCCCGCAGTTTGGACCCCCAATCCCTGGAAAGGGATACGAAGTTGAGAGCATCGAAGATCAGTGGGGCACAAGCCCCAACTGTGAATTCCTTGTGAAGTTCCTTTTCCAACCTCACACAGAGGACCGATGGTTGAACTTCTCAAGTCTGCAAATTCAGTTGTACACGCCTATGAGGCTGAACAGAAGAGGCAACCTCTCAGACGTTCTCCTCGTGGACACTCCTAGCTCGGGGTCCTCGCTCCCCGGGAGGGTAGGAATGCAATGAATTGCAGGGAAATGCAGGCTGTACGCTAATTTTGTTGTTGCCTATTTTGTGCTTTCCGGGATTCGATCCCGTGACTGGTATTGTGTGTGTGTGTGTTTGTCTGTGTGTACACTAACTGTGTTTGTTGGTTCCCTGTTTTGGGCGTTGGAGGACTTGAACCCGTGACTTGTAGTGTGTTTGTAGTGTGTGACTGTTTTTGAGGTTTATTGGGCTTGAACCTTGAACCTGTC